AGAAGACATGACTAGTACACTGCTTCCTGTGCAGTGTATACACTAAATGCTTTCTGGTCTTGCAACAGTCTTTCTTTTACCTTAACATTAAAGTCTGTATCTGCACATTCTTGTCAAGAGTATATGTAATGAAATATGCGCAAGACCAGGTCTAATGCCTCACACTACTTCTCTAAATAAAAGTCATTATCCTATTTTTGAACATATTAAAGACAAATTATATAATTAAAAAAACCAAACTCATAGTCACGTTCAGCTGACATGCCTAAGTAAAATTCCTTTGTAAAATGAGGCTTTGGAAATCCTAATTTTGTCCTTGTCCATCCTGATGAGTGAAAATATTTGGTCTCAGGCAAAAACAGGACTACCTGACAAAGTCATCAGGTTTAGCTGACATTAAAATCTTCTAAACATTCCTCATATTTGGCTGGAAATTGTAACAGTATTAATCATTACAATTCTGTGGATCAATGTGGAACTCTCAGGTAGCTTAAGTATTGTATATTCCATGTTCTTGGCAACCATTACAGACTGGTTATTAGGGCCAAATTAAATCTCTCTGTGCCTAACATTTCTTACAGAAGTTTCTTTCACATTCTCTTTTATTTAACAGGCTGATACGTCATTAAAGAGATATTCTGCCCAGACACCCCTGTACCACAGAAAAGACACAATACAAGGCAACTTTACTGCGAGTTTTGTGAAGCACAGCCACATTATTTGAACCAGAACGTTTTAGCTTTCAACCAGAATGAATGTATATCTTCAATAAATGCATTTTACTAATAAGTACCATATGTATTTTCTGTAGGGGAAAATTCCGGGGTTTTACATGTGTAGTTATAGCTAGAATGTATAGAACAATCTTTCTCCTGCTAGGATGAATGGAAATTCTTCCCAGTTATTTCCTGGAACTTGAGACTGAAGAAGGAAAGCTTTAGGTCTTTTCTACTCTCACCAGATTAGACATGTATTCAGATGTCTTATTGTATATTAATATTTTATTTTTACTTAGCTGTAAAAAAGACGATAATGTAGTCAGAATAGGAGACCTGACAACTGGAACTGAGTATTACATCTAATTGAGCCCACTCTTTTATACACACAAAAAGATAATGCTCTAGGGGTGTTTTACCAACACTTTATGCTTCATAGGTTTTGGTATGTTGAATTTGGAGTTTTTAAATCCTCTTGAAGACTTTCACTCTTTTCTGTCTAATATATCTCATTAGCAGTGGCTTTTTCCCCTAATTTAATAAAAATTTGCTTAATTTCATCTCATTATTTTCAATTATATAACCCCAGGTATTACTACTTATACTGTTAAATAACGTGCATATATATGTGTGTGTGAGATTTGTCAGCATTATACAAAAATGAACTTTAGAGACTTACTGGCAGAAGCATCCCAAAACTTTACTGATCCATCTGCATGGCTTAAAAGAAATATAAAAATTAAATGTGTTAAACCAAGATGCAATTCTAAGACATCTACTTTCAGTGAGTGATAAATATAAGCAGAAAAACTGTGTTTTGCTTGTGTAATAACTCTCCATAACTTACTGACAATCTATATAATGATATATATGCTAACTATAAGAAAATATTTTGCCATTAGTTTGATCAGGTTAATAAAACACTTTTCCATGCATTTCCTTCAAAGAATTAAGCCCCCAGTAAATTTTAAGATTGCAACAGCAAGAAATCAATTCCCATACCAATGACAAGTTTAAGTTACAGCGCTTTTGGCTTTGCAGTGGGCCAGCATCAAGCTTTTGTACTCTCAAAATGCCAGGTATGAAAAACTTGGAAAGGACAGAGGAGAATGTTGCTTTGCTTAATACCTTTGAAGCTGTGCTCTTTTTATTAACATAAAATAATTCCTGTGGTAAAGCTGGAGAAAAGAGACATTTCTATTTTAAATTAGAACAATCCCCTCATCACCTTATTGATACTACTGCACACATCATAATCTTATTTTTAAAAAGAGGTGTTAAGTATCATTGATAATAATTTATCCAATATATTGCCATCAGTGTGGCTGGGATCAGAGGGAAACGCTGAGTGCATCATAGCTCAATAGCTTCTGTTTTGCAGCACAGCCCCTTGAAAAATCCATCAGGCATTGCTCATGGGGCTTCTACTGAAATCTGAGCCTTTCTAGACCTTTTTGCTATGGGGCTGCCTCTTCATTTACAAGGTGAAATTCATCCCAGTGCATCACAGCCTCACTAATGCTGGGATATTAAAATTAATTCCCAAACTCTCTCCAGAAGGCCAAAGAACAAGAACTAACCAGAACAGGTGCTCCCCTTTTAAAGCTATTTTTTATGTTCTTCAAGGTCAAAATACTCTCCTGCAATGGACTCTCCTTTCCAAAGGCCCCACCTTCACAAGTATATAGGCTTGGTGTCTAACTCTGGGGCCTCAAATGTTAATTATTAATGGCAGTTCACCCTCGAGTACAAGGTTCTATTTTCTACAGCAAATAAGAATTTCTGTGGTGACTCTGCACAAGGGAAAAAATAATGTACCTCAGATTAAGAGGCCAGGATAAACATGGTCTGTGAAGGGTCAGCTCTTACCTATAGCTAACCCACAATCAAAACCTGCAGACACTATAATTTTAATGTACCAATCCTCAGTTTCATTCTCACCCTGTAATAATGATTTCAGGATATGTCTGAGCTCCAAGGTTCCATGCTCCACCACTGATAGGCCACTCCTAAACAAACAGCAAGAGTACAGAGATCATAACCAATTCTGATGAATCTTACTTGGTTAATTGTTAAACTCGGTAACAGAAAACAACTTCCTCCAAAAAGCAATACAGCTCACAAAAGGAACAAAAAACCCACATAGCATTAAAGGCATTTAAAGCTTATTAACATTTTTGTATTATTAATTAAAGCCTTTGAAACTTAATAACATTTTTATGTGATCAGTTAAAGTTCTATGCTTTAAAAAATATTTCCACACAGCTAACACAGCAATTCAAAATAGGAACTAGAAGAAGTAGTAACAAACAGTCCTGCTACTCTTTACACATTGCTTCTCTGGGAGTTTCTGTAGGACACTGAATAGATTGAGAATGTATTTCGAGGATGAAGACTACTGAAGAAGCTGACCCAGAAACAAACCTCTGAGCACAATGCCATAAGATGTGAGATAAGATATGAGATAAGGGAATGCAGCTGATATGAAATCAACAGGACTTCTATGCCTTTTGTTTATTAGCGGCACGACTTTCATTCTCCTCCTTGGTCTAGGCTGATAAAGTGAAATGATGGTTTGTGCCTAAAGCTTGACCTATGTGGATACAGGAGGTAGAGGATGACTTATGTGCAGAGTGGATGAGAGTGTGTGCAGAGTATGAGTGGGTGGAAAAAAACCCCTAGGTGCACAAACTGGTTATGTGGAACCATGGAATGGATGCTTGTAGGTACAGAAATGGGTGTGTGGCAAATAAATGGCTACATTCAGAGTGTATATCTGCATGTGCTCAAGTAAAGCAAAGGGACAAGAAAGTGTGCAATTAATACAGGTAGGAGGTGAAAAGTTTGGGAAATTATGTATATGAAGTAAGGATAGATAAGCAGACAAATTCAAATGAGAGGAAAAAACATCTTTTCTGAAGTACTTTGCTGAATCAAAATCCAAAAGTAGTAGATAGGACCAGTTTCTCAGTTCATGGACAACAAGGCAGCTCCAAGGAGAATACTTCTGTTCATATGAATAGAAAACTGATGTTGTCTGATTTGTTTACTCAATTTCTAAAAAAATATTTATTATTATGGATTTGTTCTAGTCAAAACATAAATCAGATTAACCTTGACATTTATAAAATAATTGCATTTCCTCTTTTTACTTCTGCAGCTTGTCCTATTTCTACATGCATTTTGTTAAGACTTTGGTACTTCAGTACAATAATTATTAATATCCCTATTTAATAAAAATCTCATAGACATGCTTGTCAACCCTCAACTTCCACTGAAATTCTTCTGCTAAATTCTTTCAGTTATAATGTTTTCACTTTTTTCTTTGATAGAGATGACACATCCATACCAATATGTACTGTTCAGCGATGACTTTTCTTTAACTCAGTCTGATCTGGCATAACTCCCACAGCCTAATGATTAAGTTCCTTATAATAGTCAATAATAGTTGTGCTTGAGTGATGGTGCTTCTGATGGACAAATACCCAGCCATAAGTACGCTACCAAGCTGCTGTTTGGACCAACTGGAAAGTGATTATTAAAGAAATAAAATTAAAATTATTTGGTAAGATGCTACAAAAACATAGGTTACACAACTACTTTCTTTCTTCAACAAAAGAAAAAAGCTTTTGTTTACCTTATTGCTGTATCCTTGCTTTTTATGTTTTGCTCCTACAGAATAGAGTACAGGAATCAAATCTGGAGGACAATCCGCAAAATATTCTGTGCAGGTAACAGGTGACTCATGAATGTCAATAGGATATGGATTTTCAAAGATTGGAAAACTAGTTAAGGAAGACAATTTATTAGAAGCACTGTGACACACTAAGTCATAGAAGAAAACAATCTTATATTAAAATGTATAACAGAATCTAAGTAAAATAATTACTGAAGTACATTTTCCCTTTCTTATTCAAATGTATATATTTGGTTTAATGTCAACAATAATATGTAGTTACTCAAAGATATAAAAATTCCACTGCTGTGATAATAATCCTCCTATAACATAAATATCCATTCTCGTGAAAAGTTCCTAAAGGTTAACAAGACTACTTGTGTGAATGATGACTAGGAATTAATTTTTCCCAACATCTCAAAATCTTATTTCTATACAATTGGCACATTTTCTAGAAGCTTCAGGGTCATGGATATGGCATATACTATGACCTAAAATCAGCTTACACCGCTGTGGATTTTATAGTGAGCAGCTTAGCTTACTATGTTGGTAGACTACTGATTCTACAATGAACAATTGTGATAACAGATGAAGTAGGTCTCAGTTTATTTCTCACTTCCATCAGTTTGGACGTTTTGATAAGAATGAAGGCCTCACTTCTGACATACTACACAATCTTATTTACAATTCAAAAATGTAGGAAATCTGGTTCTGATTTCCCTTTTATATTGCTGAGATGATTTGAATTATTCTTGAAAGTAAGAAAGATTAGAATATGATTCACTTAAAATGTTTCAAGACTTTAAGGGCAAAATCTGTTCCTAGTCACACCATTGTGAATGTGGATGTACATTACTGGTAGTGTTGGAGGCAGAACAAAATACATAAGAACTGGTTTCTGCATTACATGGTGGATAGCTCCTCTTCGATATGAACATTGGTTCTGATGTGAAAGAACTATTTGTCTTAGATAGATCCATAGATCCACTATATATCAACGCCATTGTTTATTAAGATACTTAAGTAAATACTTAAATTGTAGTCCCTGTGGAGTCTAGTGAAGTTAGGCATGCATATAACTATTACTTGCATCTGATTTCCAAAACGCTCATTCAAGTCTTAATTCATCATGGGCCCAAGAAATACTTAAGTTCAATGCTGAGTGAATGTTTGAGGGCTATTCTGAAGGGACTGCAGATTTAGGTTTATTCCTAAACTTAAGGATAAATAATATAATAAATTCCTGTTGATTAGCTGATTTTATCTGTTAAGGTGGAGATAAACATATGGAGTGAATTATTACCAAGAGCCAACGATTTTACATACTAAAATGACATTGCATAGTAACATTAGGATTTTTATCATCATTTGCTGAGCAGTTAAAACACACTAGTAACTTCATATAAGACTTTATACTTACTTGCTTTGTGTCAGGTCAACAACAATGAGATCTTTTTCCAAAAGCACAACCACAGCATAGGGTTCTTGAAATTCTGTAAGTGAGGAGTCATGTATAAAAGTCATGGAGTTGTTCTGTTAGTCATATTTTCCATAACTGAGTTTTGCTTAATAAACTCACCATTTGGATATGGGGTTTCACAAAGAGTTAAAAAATCAACTATAGGATGATCCATTTCAAGAACTGTAATTGCTTTCCCATGCATGATGGTTAAACTTGGTCTTCGACAAGGTTTATCATATGACAGTCCACCAGAAAATATCACAAAGGGTTCACTGTATTAAAAAAACCCAACATAGTATTATAAGCTTACATAGTACATACAAGTTTACGTTATAGTTTTAGTACCTTTAAATAATAAATAGCTTTGCAAATAGAAAGCAGGAAAGACTCTGAAAGGACGTTAAGCCAGGAAAGGAACATTGAGTTAATTACAGAATTTAAAAAATACCTATTTTTACAGGTCTTGTACTCTACTTTAAGAATTGGTTTACAAGATTCAGGTTTTTTTCCATCTCTTTGAATTTTTCCTAAGGAAAGAAAGAACATGAAAATTGTATTAAAATATCATGATAATAGAACTATAAAACTAAAAGCATACACAGTGAAGCAAGTGTATAAGCAGCAAGAGAATGAAACTTTAAAGCTAAGAAGATGATGAGCATTGGCTCCTTTTTCTGTAAAATATACATTTGTCTAGATGAATTAAATTTATTATGGCTTTATATTTTTCTGCCATATACAACTAAAGGACTACAGCCCACACTTCCATAATATCTAAAACCTACGCAGATTACTGAGAAGGATAACAATTAATAAATTTGAGCAAACGTATACCTTTTTTCTGAACATGATTGTAAACAGCTTAATTTTTTCCTAAGTCATTAGACTGGCTCAATTCCTCTGGTTGACAAAATGTGACGTGTTCTGGAGTGTAACTAGCTGAGTGATAAAATTAAATGAAGTGTACAATTGAAATTCATGGGTTCTTGGTTAATGATGGCTCAGTACTTTCTTTCAGAGAAAAGTCACTTGTAATGCAAAAAAATAGCAGTTTTAGTTTTGTTACTTTGGAAAGCCTATGCTTGCTTTCAACAGCAACCTGATTGGAGGATACAGCGTAGATGGAGCCAGACTGTTCTCAGAGGTGCACAGCAACAGGATGGGAAGCAATGGACTCAAGTTGTGTCATGGGAAGTTCTGGTTAGATATTAGCAAAAACAGTTTGTGCCCTGAGGATCATTAAATACTGGAAGATGTTGCCCAGAGAGGTTGTGCAATTTGTTGTCAGAAGTGTTCAAGTGTCCAGTGTCAACTGGATACTGCTCTGAGCTAATTAAACTAATCAGCCTGAGAGTAAGATTAGATGACCTCTGAGAGGTCTTTTCTGACAGAAAGTACAATTTTATGACTAAAAATGATAAAATAGAAGGAATCAGGAAATTTAAGTAAATGCTAAAACTTTTCTGGGCTACATAGACCTTGTTTTCCCCTTCTTCCTTCCCCTCCACTCAGTCAGGCTTCTTGGTAATGTGTTGGCTTGCAATGGAGTCAATACATTTTTACTCATTTATAGGAAGCAATGGCATATAAAGTCTCAGCCATAAAAGGTACAGCCATTTCTTAATACGGCTCCTTTAAATTCTTCATTGTAGTGACTTGGGAAGCCTTACACAAACTCTATAACAAGCAACACAGTGCCTTGTACAAAATGTATTACTTCTTGTGAAAACTGCACATACTGGCACGTAAGTACAAAAAGCAGAAAAAAGAAATGTGAAAATCCCACAGCCTGAGGGTGTCAAATACAAGCAGTAGACTGTTAGAAAACATTAGAGCAATATTAACCAGTAAGAGGTATTTATGACATCAATTAAAAATAAGTTTGATAAAAATTGCTCTCTGGTTTTTTCAGATTTTGCAGCTGCTTTGCAAGTTGAAATATTTGTGCAAGAAGCAATTCTGGATCTGGGCTACAATAAAAAAATGAAACAGATATTAGGAAACACCATTGAGAATATTGTATTGTTTCTCAGTTATAAATTTTAACTATCTAAATTACCATGTGGAATTGTGGTCTGGAATGGTCTGTTAGGACTTTTCAGATTCCATAGGGTCAAGCTGCCATCAGAGTGACTGCACATGAACTGTTTCCCTTCATGATGCCAAGCAACAGAATGAATAGCCTACAGAAATGAAAGAAAAACTTGAGATTGAAATAGAATACTGTGTTTACACTAACAACATTTTAATGTATGACTTTCGATTATATTAATCTAATGGTATATCAACAGTTGGGTGGTCCTTGTTTGTCTAAAGTCCACTCCCAGCATCTTTTAGTAACCAATGGCTGTAATCTACTGCTAGTCAGGCACAACAATTCATTATAAATGCTGATGTAGCACAAGAATGTAAGGAATCATATATTGAATCAGACCAAAAATGAAGGAACAGGGTATTAAGGTAAAAGTATAAGAACAAGGGACATACAGTTCCATCATAGTATGTCTGATAGATCTCCTTAGAAGTATTTTGCCTGTCAAACTTACAGGGACTTCTGTGTAACAAGTTTTACAGGTAACATACAGCACAGACTCT